TTTTTTTTCTTTGATTTAAAAGAATTTATTATTTTTTTTTTAATTAAAAAACTCTATTATAAATTAAATTCATTTTATTAAAAAATTATATTATTATGAATCTGAAATCCTTTTTGATGATCTAAAAAAAAAAAGGGAATTAATTAAAGGAATTATTACCAAAATATCTTATTCTATTTATTCTATCGTATGAGAATCATTTTAATCATTTTATCAATTTTATTATTATTAATTGTGGGTAACATTAAAAAATTAAATAAAATTAAATAAAATAATTTTATAATGGATGAAAAATGGATTATATAAATTACCTTTATTGTATAATTTTATTTGATGTCATTAATTACTAAATTTATTCGTAAAAAAAATTATATAATAATTTTTATAATGGATATTAATGTAAATAATTTTATAATAGATATTAATATATTTTATAATGGATATTAATATATTTTATAATGGATATTAATGTAAATAATTTTATAATGGATATTAATGTAAATAATTTTATAATGGATATTAATATATTTTATAATGGATATTAATGTAATATTATAAAATAATTTTTATAATGGATATTAATAAAATAAATTTATAATGGATATTAATATAATGGATATTAATATAAATTACCATTTTTTTTTATTGTAAATTATAAAAATAATTAAAATAATTCTTATAATGGATTAATTTAATGTAAAATTGTAAAATAAGGATATATTCTTATTCTTATAATGGATATTTATTGACGTTATATAAAAAATTATTTTTTATTGTAAAAATAAAATAATTTTATCTTATCATTATCCTAGGGATCAAATCATCCTAAGGGTTCGGTTGATTACCACATTATCACTTTACCACTCTACCACTTTACCACTTTACTACTTTATCAATCTACAAAATAGATTATTTTTTGGCATATCACACATATCACACTATACAGAATCAAATCGTAATTGAATTTATTTTTCTGTTTTTTCATAAACCCATTGTCCTCTTGGTGTTTCAACTTCAAGTGATTCCCATCTAAAATAATAAATATCCATCTAATAAATATTCATCTAAATAATAAATATCATGTTTTTTAAAAAAATATTTAAATAATACATACGGTTTCCATTCTTCCATCTTGGCAACTAATTTTAATTCATCTTCAGCTTGAACAATTAATTCTTCAATTTGTCCAGCATCAATTTTTTCTTCAATCTCTTGAATATTTTTAGTAGATTCAGCAATTTTAAGTCTATGCTTTGTTGTAGCTTCAGTAGCTTGACGATAAACTGCTGTAGGTGGAATATGTGTTAAAGCACTTAATGTTTTATTATAAGTTTTAATTAAATGTGGTCTTGGATCTGGATGTACTGCTAATCCAAATATTCCTGTTGTTGCCTAAATAATATGAAAGTAATGAATAAAAATTATCAGTATTTTTAACATGATTTTTAGATTATTAATGATTATGATAAATTATTGAATTATTGAATCATAGATTATTGAATGATTATGATAAATTATTGAATTATAAATTATAATAAATTATTGACCCATAGATTATAATAAATTATTGACCCATAGATTATAATAAATTATTGAACCATAGATTATAATAAATTATTGAACCGTAGATTATAATAAATTATATAATCAAGAATCGTAGATTATAATGAATTATTGAATTATAAATTATGTTGAATTATAAATTATTATGAATTATTGAACCATATATTATTATAAATTATTGAATAGTAACATTTTCACATTATAAATTATTAAATAGTACCATTTTCACATTATAAATTATTAAATAGTACCATTTTCACATTATAAATTATTATAAATATCCCTTCAAACTATTTGCCATGCATGTGTTTGTTATTAATTTGAAATTCAATTAAAAATTTCTTACCTTTTGGGCTGCTTTCATCAAATGCCGAGTTACCTGCATCGTTTAAATTAAATCTATATTAAAGAATATAACATCAGAAAAGGGTTTTGTTTTTTACTAGATATAAAAGATAAAAAATACAAAATGAGAACTTAAATTAAACTTACCCGTTAAAAAGGTTTATTCAAAAAAAGTTGTCTTTTAAAAAGAGAGATCGATTTCAGATAAGAATGCTTCATATGAAAATGTGTCACAAAATAACGTATGTAACTCAAAGTAAGGGTTACCCCACTAACCCCAATTACCGTTACACTAGAGTCGCCCCCCCCCCGGAATCTTTACCTATTAAAGTTTATCTTTTTAAATATTAAGGAACAATGAACATTTTTATGCCCCGCGCAGTAACAATGAATGTAATTTTTGATTGTACTTTTTTTTTTTTTTTTTTTTNTTTTTTTGTGGTTTCAACTCGAGCATATTAAAACATGCACTTAATTAATACATTGAACAGTATGAAAGGCAAACAATGAATGGTTCGTTATTTATTAAAGTTATTCGGGTTCTAGCCTCCCCCCTTTTTTTATTATGAATAAATAAGGTTTTGAATATATTCTATATTTATATATTTTTGGGTTCTCCGCTTAAGTATTGCTTACGTGTTGGATCCGGTGTTAGAAACTTACAAGAAAGGAAAATTCGGATTTTATGGATAGAAAAGGAATAATTTAAGTAATTTGAGTAATTTAAGTAATTTAAGTAATTTAAATAATTTAAATAATTTAATCAAAATTTCTTAATTGAAGGATCGAAATTAGTGAAAGCTGAAATTTTTTTTTTTCCGCGGTTCTTCCGTTAAAAGTAATGATAATTTTTAACGTTAACGTCATAAAATACAAAAAAAATAAATTCGGCTTAGCATCATTTGGGGCGTTTTTCCAAATTTGGTATATTAATTGTGAATCTTATCTCAATCGATCAACTTTGAATTTTTTATCAAAAAAATTTTTTTCATTCAGATTATTTTACAATTCGTTATCGATATCTTTTCTTTTTTAACCACTGAATCTTAATTCGGTATTCCGAATTCCCAAGATATCTTTTTTTTTTTACACTTTAATTTCCAAATAAGTTATATTTAAACCTTATGTGTACATAATAGCTATAAAAATATAGTGTTACAATTCCCCAACAACTGTAAAATAAAAGAGTAGCTTAATTTTTTTTTTTTTTTTTTTCGAGAAAAAAATTTTCAAATTTTTTTTATTTATCAAATTAGTCATGTCTTTATACCCTGAAAACGTTGGTATCTTGGCTGTAGAATTATATTTTCCAAAAAGAGTATGTAAAAAAAAAAAGTCGTTTTTTTTAAAAAAAAAGTCAGTAAGTTAGTAAATAATCAATAATTAATTTAATTAATTTTTGATGATTAGTATGTCGACCAAGCCGAACTTGAAAAACATGATGGAGTTTCGGCAGGAAAATATACCATCGGATTAGGACAAACTAAAATGGGATTTTGTGATGATCGAGAGGGTAAGAAACAGGATTGATTGAATTTTTTTATTATACGACGCGTTATTTAAATATTTTTCTTTAATTTCACTTTTATAGATATCAATTCTATTGCATTAACAGGTAAGCAATTCTTTTAAGTGAATTTAAAAATTTTTTTAATCTCATTTTAAGAATTTCTCTCTTTCTAATATTTAGTCGTTCACAATCTTATTGAAAAATATAAGATCTCTTATAATGATATTGGTCGTATTGAGGTTGGAACTGAAACCATAAGTAGGTTACATTGAATTAAGGATTGAATATTCAATATTTAAGATAACGTGATTGGCTTTTATTCTCTATAGTTGATAAATCAAAATCGGTAAAGTCTGTATTAATGCAACTTTTCAAAGAATCTGGAAATACTGATATTGAGGGAATAGATACCACAAACGCATGTTATGGTGGTAAGATACCGATACCAAATTATTGATTTCTTTCAAAATACATTTACTTATTTTGAAAAAAATTGTATAGGTACTTCTGCCCTTTTTAACGCGATAAATTGGATAGAATCATCATCATGGGATGGGCGATATGCTATCGTTATTGCTGGTGACATTGCTGTCTATGCAACAGGTCCAGCTCGCCCAACTGGTGGCGCCGGATGTGTTGCTTTGCTTATTGGCAAAGATGCTCCAATCGTCTTTGATCGTGGTAATTAAATATTATTAATTTACTTGGATTTTATTGAATTACCGATTTTTATGTCATTTTATATACATTTAGGTCTTCGAGGAACTCATATGGAACATGCTTGGGATTTCTGTAAGTTATATTTCTATAAATAAAATTTATATGCGCTTCTTATTTTGTTTTAATTTTGACTTATCTTAAATATTTAGATAAACCTGATTTGTCATCAGAATTCCCAGAGGTTGATGGTCAGCTTAGCAATGAATGTTATCTTAAATCATTAGATAAATGTTATGATCGCTATATGACGAAACTTACTACAAAAGTAAGTAATATGTTTATCAGATTTATGAAAATTACCTTACTGACAATTGTTTAAAAAAAAAATTAGGAGAAAGTTGAAACCCCCACAATAAAATTATTTGACTATGTACTCTTTCATGCTCCTTATTGTAAGCTTGTACAAAAGTCATATGCACGGTTATATTATAATGATTTCAAACGTAATCCTGATAATTCCATTTTCGCATCTGTTCAACAATTCAAAGTATGATAATTTTATTAAATTACTTTTTTTAAAAAAAAATATATAGGAAAATTATTGTATTAAAAAAAAATTCAAAAAATTATAGGATATGAGTGCAGAAGAATCTTTTCGTTCAAAAGATCTTGAAAAAGCCTTTATTACACTTTCAAAATCGGATTATAATAAAAGAGTCATACCAACCCTTTTAGCTGCAACTCAAATTGGAAATATGTATTGTGCTTCATTATATGGATCACTTGCATCATTGTTGTCCAATGTTCCATCCGATGAACTAGTATGTAAATGTATATATTTATATTTAATATTTTTTTTAATAACCTTTACTAATACAATTTTTATTATTAGATTGGAAAACGCGTAGGAATGTTTTCATATGGATCGGGACTTTCATCATCATTTTTTTCATTTCAAATTAAAAAATCCATTGCAGACATTAGTAAAGTATTAGATGTACCAAATCGGCTTAAATCTAGATTAGAGTTAACACCAAAACAATTTAGTGAAGTAATGAGATTAAGAGAAGAAACTCATGGAAAAAAAGGTTATAAACCTGTAGGAGATGACTCTTTAGTAAAAGATGCATTTTTTTCGGGAACTTATTATTTGGAAGAAATAGATTCTAAATGGAGACGTTCTTATAAGCGTACAACATAAATAATAATTTAATTATTTAGTTATTTTTGTAAATTTTTGGATCGGTTTATTGGTTTTTTTCTTTTCATTAATCTGTTTAGTTGTAATTTATGTTTTTCTGTATGATTTTTTGTTTGCATGCAAGCCATTCCAAATAAATATTGATAGATCCGAAAGATCACCGATCAAATACCTTTAATGCATTAACCGGATAATTCCAGCCGGGTAAATAATTTGTTTCGGTATAATTGTTCTGTTTGAATAGTTCTAGTGCGTATCGGGTTAACTTGAGCCTTAAGAAACCGCTAACTAATAGGGAATTATTTTAAGAGGTCATTTAACTTTAAAATTGTTTTCTCGGGTAAACCAACCATCTATATTTATTACATCATTAAAATTTAGAATTCAATTTACTTGCATATTGAGTTTACCTCGAAAGTGAATAATATTTACGTTATAAATATTGTTTTGTGCAAAAAAAATATCATAATCGGAATTACACTACAAATTAATTGTCGTACCCTTTTTTTATATTGTAATTTAAATTACAAAAATAATTTAATGCAAAAGAAAAATAAACATGATCTATTTCACCTTTTTATATTGTAATAATATTGTAATTAAATTATAATTTAATGCAAAAAAAAAAAAATTAAGCGTGATCTATTACAATTAATGTAATTAATGTACTTTTTTATGATAATTAAATTTAATACCAAAAAAAATTTAAGTGTGGTCTATTTCTTTCATTTTACAATTACTGTACCTTTAATATGTTGTAATTAAATTAATTAAATTACAAAATTAATTGATTAAATTAATTCAATGCCAAAAAAATTAAATGATCATTCTATGCAAACTACTGTATTTCTTTTTTATGTTGTAAATTAAATTACAAATTAATTCATTTCTTTCATTCTATGCAATTACTGTATTTTTTTTCTTTATGTTGTAATTAAATCAATGCCAAAAAAAAAAAAATAATCATGATCTATTTCTTTCATTTTATAATTACTGTACTTTTTCATGTAATTAAATTACAAAATAATTTAATGCCAAAAAATTAAACATAATCTATTTCTTTCATTTTATAATTACTGTACTTTTTCATAAATTACAAAATAATTTAATAACAAAAAAAAAAATTAAACATGATCTATTTCTTTTCTTTTATGCAATTACTGTATTTTTTTTTTTTTTAATGTCAAAAAATTAAACATTTTCTTTATTTTATGCAACTACTATAATATAATACTGTATATATTTTAATTAAAATAATTTAATGCCAAAAAAATTAAACACAATCTATTTTTTTTTACTTTACAATTACTGTATTTTTTTAAAAATTAAGTATAATTTATTTGTAATTACTGCAGTTTTTTATTTTATAATTAAATTACAAAATACTCGTTCATTTCAATATAAGGCCGTTCCAAATTAATAATTAGTTTAATGTCCTTTCTGGCCAAAAATTTTGAGGGGGGGAGGGGATAATTTAAACAAACATGAAAATTAAACATAATAAAAATTTCAGAAATTTTTGGTAAAATTGGGAATTCTTAGTACTATTAAATTTTAATAAAGGAGGGGGTGGTTTAAGCATATTTAAACATATCAAACATATATGTTTAAATCACCCTTGAATTTTTCAAAAATAAAGGAGGGAGGACGTTAAACCAAAGATTAAATTGGAACGGCCTAATACAGCACCACCAAAGATAATATAGTATTTGAGAATTTTTAGCATTTCTTTTCAATTTATGATGATTCATTAAGCTCTTATTGACCTATAAAATCTAAAACTGTATATACAGAATTATTTGAGTTATTAAAGAAAGAAATTATTAATTGTACTATTAAAGCTAATATAAATAATAAGAATTATTAAATATACTTAAGATATTTATTTATAATGTTCAAAATAAACCTAATTTCAAAAAGCAAAAAAATATTAATATTCAGTTAATATATTAATTACAGTACTATTATTAAACATAAAAGAAGATTTCTAAAAAGATTTAAATCAAGTATTAATTAAATAGATAATAAATTTTAAAGAATAGTATAAGTATTAATAATGGCAGTATTTTGTGATTTATTAGACAAAGATATCAAGGCTATATATTAAAATGATGTGTTTCATACGTCACCTATTTGCAGTATTATATATCAGATAGTGTCTGCCAAAATTGGATAAATATAGACATTTTGAAATATATCAAGGATTTTTGTCTAATCACATGTTTCATATTATAATTGTCAAGTAGAATATGTTTAGCATTTTCAAAAACTGTTCAGAATAGTAATTATATATTTGAAAGATTCATGCTAATAAGGCACAGAAAAATATAAAATATATAGCCCAGACATCACATATATAACTTATAACTGATTTGCATGAATTTAGCACTTTTTGCTTTTACTAAAATAGATCTAATTTACTAAAAATCAAATTATTACATTTTAAATCTATATATACTAAGTTGTTAAAACTCAAAATATAAGTTATAGTAAAATTTTAAATAATATAAGTTTAAATTTGCAATCACTTGTAAATCAGTAAATTTAATTGTCAATTTACTGAAATTAACAATCTTTTTTTTTATTATTAATAAAAAAAATAATTAAGTGACGATTCATCACTTAATGAGAGAAAATGATCAGTAAAAATGGAATGTCATGTTCTTCCAAAGTAAAGTTCATGAATAAAAAACTAATACTTTGGCAACTTTAGAAATATAAAAATGAAGATGCCTATCATTTCGAGTTATTTTCAAATAAAATAAAAATAAAATTTGTGCAACAGAGATCGTTAAAATTACTGCATTGTGGTAAATCATGTGACTTTTATATATAGTTTGCATAAACTATTTCCGTGGTAAAAAATGAGATAGATAACTAAGCAAAGAACACTTATAAAACTTTATTTATAGATGCAATTTGACAAAATAAACAACTTTTGTTAATGTTAAAAAGTTGATTATTAAACTAGATTTTTTGTTATTTTTAAATTTTTATTTAGCAAAATCAGTAAGTTTTTGGTTTATTAAAAAATTAGAATTATTTATTGTGTTTTATAATTATAAATTTATTTTAATTTAAAAATATAGTTATATGTCTGTTAATTAAATGGAAAATATGTATAATCTGTCATAATAAAAAGTTCACGAATTTGATGTGCAGTTTTTATATAAAATTTTAAAATGCAGCAAATTTGACAATCTCTGTCGCACAAATTTTATTTTTTATTTTATCCCAAAAATTGCACAAAATAATACATAAAAACCTACATTTCTATATTCCCAAAGTTGTAAAGTATTAGTTTTTTACCCATGGACTTTACTTTGGAAGAACATGGCATTCCATTTTTGCCGATCATGCACACCTGTTGACTAACGGACCATCCCTTAATTAATATAAATTAAACTGTCAATTTTTATAATTTATAATTAAAAATATGTAAATTATAGATAAAATAATAATTATCGCCTTTTTCTTTTTAGTGTAATCTAGCTAAAATAATAATTAAAAAAAGTGAATTTTAGAAATCTGTGATTACTAAAATTTTATTGTATTTTTAAGTAGAGAAGGTACAAATACAAGCTAAAAGTGCAATAAAATTTTAGTAATCACAAGTTTTAAAGTAAGTTTACTTATAAGTGACTCCTTAAAATTTTGTGTAACATTTATGCTTTAAAAAGGACCCCGGATATCTCTAAAACAGGTCATAAGTCACACTTTCGGCAGATTGGCCCATTTTTCAGGGGCTCAAAAAATCGTTTTTTGTAAATATCTCGGCATCCAGTAGTCCAATTTTGATGAACTTTTTTTTAAATTGTAGAGCTAAATGAGGGCTACAAAATAAAAAAATGTTCATTAAAATTGAATTACTGGATGCTGAGATATTTACAAAAAACGAATTTTTGAATTTAAGCAAAAAGGGGTGTTTTTGGCCAAAAGTCCATTATGACCTTTATATTAGATATCCGGGGTCCTAAAAAGGCTAAAAGAATGTGTTTGTTTATTATTAAAGACGAAATAAAATTTTTATTTTCCAAAAATTGAACTCTGGAATTTCCTATCGAAATCCACTTGTATTTATACATTTTTAAGAAAAATATTTCTAATATTTCTAATATTTCTAATAAAATTTGAAGATCTATTATCATATGAATATCTCGTTAAACTAAACTAAACTATAAATATAATTTTATTGGCTAATTATTAAACCATCGGCTAATTATTTATCCTTATTATATTTTATTGTATTTTTCGGTTATTACATTTATCCTCCTCTTGAAAAATTTATGTCCCATAAATTAAGAATCGAATTCGGGTCTCAAACATATTATATTATTATATATGGTTCAAATATTTCCCTATCAAAATATTCTTTTAATAATTCTCCATTTACTGGTCTTCTTAAAATTCTTCCATTTAATTCTTTAATTTTGTACGATCCATTTATTATTACTTCATGTATATAATATGGTCCCTTCCATTTTTCTTCTAGTTTTCCTGTATGTATTTTGTATTTTGCCACGTCAAAGTATAATACTTTATCTCCTATTTGAAAGTTTTGTTTTCATTTTCCAATTTTATCATGATATTTCTTTTGTTGTTCTTGTGCTTTTTCAATATTCTTCTTTGCTTTATTTCTTCTTATTGGTAATTCTTCAATTAGACTGTTAATTCTTTGTATTATTGAAACTTTTTAATCTTCTAAATTTAATAATGTCTTTATTTCTTTTCCATATATTAAATATCCTGGTTTTAACTTTGTTGAATCATTCTTCTTTGTTCTACACGTGAATAAAACCTCTCTTCCTCCATTTAAAATGTTGTAAAGGTTAAGGTGTTGTAAAGATTAAAGTGTTACATCCATTCTAAAATATCCTGATAATTTGTAATTATATATTATATATATTAACTTTCCATTTCCTATCATTAATTTAATCTTTATATTCTCATATTCATTTAGCCTTCTTCTTCTAATGTTTCATAAAAATATCCTATATCTTCTCTCAATTTATTTGTTTAATTTTCTACCATTATTTTCTCATCTTTTAGGCTTATCATTCATCTTAAATTTAGCGACTAATTTTTGTTGATCATTTTCATTAACATTTCTAAAAATAGATCTCTAATTTTAGTAGATCACTATATTTAGATTCCATTAACCTAATTTGTTATTTTGGCCC